ACCTCCATGGCAGCACCAAAAACTGAGCACAGAACCAAGATTTGTTTGGGCTGGAAAAGCCCTCCGAGATCATCGAGTCCAACTGCTTCTCCAGCACTGCCAAGGCCACCAGTGACCATGTCCCCAAGGGCCACATTTTTTAAATCCCTCAAGGAATGGCAGCTCCACGCTGTGCCAGAGCTTGATGACCCTTTCAGTGGAGAAATTTTCCTTAATATCCACCCTGAGCCTGCCCTGAGGCCGTTCCCTCTGCTCCTGTCCCTGTTCCCTGGAGCAGAGCCCGACCCCCCGGCTGTCCCCTCCTGGCAGGAGCTGAGCAGGGCCAGGAGGGTCCCTGAGCCTCCTTTGCTCCGGGCTGAGCCCCCCAGCTCCCTCAGGATCCTCCAGTGCCTTCCCAGCTCCCTCAGGATCCTCCAGTGCCTTCCCAAATCCCTCAGGATCCTCCAGCCCCTTCCCAGCTCCCTCAGGATCCTCCAAATCCCTCAGGAATTCTCTATCCCCTTCCCATCTCCCTCAGGAATTTTCCAGCCTCTTTCCCCACTCCCTCAGGAATTTTCCAGCTCCTTCCCAACTCCCTCGGAATTCTCCAATCCCTCTCCATCTCCCTCAGGATCCTCCAGCCCCTTCCCAGCTCCCTCAGGATTCTCCACATCCCTCAGGAATTCTCCATCCCCTTTCCATCTCCCTCAGGAATTTTCCATCCTCTTTCCCCACTCCCTCAGGAATTCTCCAGCCCCTTCCCAGCTCCCTCAGGATCCTTCAGGCCCTTCCCAGCTCCCTCAGGATTCTCCAAATCCCTCAGGATCCTCCAGCCCCTTCCCATCTCCCTCAGGATCCTCCAGCCTCTTTCCCACTCCCTCAGGAATTCTCTAATCCCTCTCCATCTCCCTCAGGATCCTCCAGCCCTTCCCAGCTCTGCTGCCCCAGCGCTGAGCCCTGAGGACACTGCTGGTGACCGGCCACCATCGGGCCCCATCCCCATTCCCTGCCACACTCCAGGCCCAGCATCCAGACAGCTTTTTACCCATGGAACAGTGACCTATGCAAGCCACGAGCAGCCGGTTTCTCCAGGGAAATGCTGTGGGAAATGCTGCCGAAGCCTTTACTGAAATCCACCCCGAGAAGATCCCTCAGCCACCGCGTGGGTCACCTTGTCACAGGGCGCAGGTGACAAGGACCCGGCGGTCAGGAACTCGTGAGGGCTGGGCCTGATCACTCGGCTGTCCTGAACAGCTCTGCTAGAGTTATGGCAGGATTTCACAGCTTTCCAGGCACCTGGAAGTTTTGCCAAAAAGTTGCATTTAAGGGAAAAAAAACCCAGAAAACCTCAAGAGGGATGACTTTTACAGGTATACTGCAGGAATCCAGGGCTTCCCTCTGGCTGCCCTGGGACCCTGGCAGGGGTCAGGAACCCCCTGGACAGAGCCCCCAGAGACACTGGCTGTGATTTCTGGCCATGGAAAAGAGTTTTCAACCTTACAGGATGAATTACCAGCTCTGAGTGTTTGATATAAGGAATAATTAAGTGTGGCACGGATGCAAAAGTAAAATTCTAGGATTCTAGATGAGGGGTCCAAAGGGGACAAGATGGAGGAAATTGGGTGTGCCTTGTCCTTTTTCTCCTTCTTCCTGCCCTCCATGTCTCACTGTGGTGTTGGCATTTTTCTGTTGGTTCAGGCTGGGGACACACTGTCCAAGGTAGGTGACAGATATTGGCACGTTATTGTAAATCCAGCCCAGGGAGTTTCTGGTATTTAATGTTTGTCACATCCCACTGAGGGCAGAGCCCCACACGCTGCCCTGCAGGACAGAGCTGGGCAGGGCAGCAGAACATGTGAGAGATCAACAGAATAAACAACCTGGAAACCAGCACAGATGAATTATGGCTTCTGCTTTGGCAGCGGGGCTGAAAGACAGAGACTTTTTACAATCTGAGAATCATCAGTACCACAGATTCCAACAGTATACAAGTGCTGAGAGAGCAGTGGAAGGTGAAGATGGGAAGAGTGGGAAGACAGGGGAAGCTCTTCTGGTGAGCACAAGACACTGAGAACAGCAGAGAGGCTGAGGACAAGCAGCCCTTGAGCTGGGAATGCATCACTCACTCCTGTGGAGCGGGCTGGAGAGCCCAGGAGTGTCTTGAGAAGGCACAGCCAGCCAGGAACAGGTCACTGTCACCTCTGGGAAGCAACCAAGTCTCCAAATCTGGGCATTTTTGTGGTTTATTCAAAGCCATGGCTCCCAGCAGTGGCTGCTCCAGGAACCGGCTCCTCCTGGGATGGATGCACATCCCAATGGGATGCACAGGTCATTTATCCAGATCAGCAGGAGATTTCCCACCTGGATACCCCAAAATCAGAGCTCTACACCAGCAAGTGCATTCATCTACACAGCTTCCCCTTGTAAGGGGCACAGCTGGAAAGAAAATCCATTTTTGCCGTGCACATCTGGGCACCAAGGGCGACAGGCCAAAGGATGCCCAAGCCAGGTGCCCTTTCTACACCCAGCACTGCCTTTTTTCCTTGGAAGGGACAACCCAAACCCGGCCCACATGTGCCAAGAACAGCAGGGTTCTGCAGAGCTCACCTCCAGGAGATCCTCCTGCAGCAGGGAGAACCTCAGGCACCACCAGAGCTCCACAGAGCATCGCTTGTTCCACTTCTCCCCACCACCAAACCAGCAGCAGAGGCACCACCCATCCAAAATATCGGTGGCTCCTCCCCCCTGACCAGCCTCAGATGTGGGGGTCCCTCATCAGCACCTCCACACTGTCACAGAGAGGACCTCTGCCCCACCCTGCTTTTGCTGCCCTGCTAAAAGAGGGACATGTGGGGGTGTCTGGTGGCTTTTGGGGTATCTGACCTCAAGCTTTGAGCCATTTGTGTCAGGCACACACAGGTGAGAGAGCAGCAAACCACAGCTGTGTGCAGGGGATGGGAAAAATCAAGTGGAGTCCAAGAATGAAGTTGCAGAGCTGAAAGGAGAACTGGGGAGATGGTTTTAGTTGCTCAGGCTCGTTCCCTCCAGCTTGGTCCCACTGGAATGGGGGCCTGGGTGTCACACAAGAGTGAAAGGCTCATCTGGGGTGACTTTCAGCAGCAAGCACGGCTGAACAAGGGTACAGCTAAATTAACCAAGTGCCCTACCCAAGTATTAAGCCATGTTTTAAATAACCTTGACATCTGTGAGGTCTCAGCCTGCTGGAAAGCATGTGGAGACAGGGAGGGAAAATGTGCCAGGACCTTCTGGGCAGCCAGAGTCCCAGCAGGGCAGGGCAGAGCCTGGCCACGATGTCCCCAGGCAGCTCTGCTGTCCCTCCTGCCATCAGCCCCTTGCAGCAGCCCCTTAATTTGCTCATTAGCAAACCTGGGAACAAGAGGAGGAACTCAACAGCGTCCCTTCCTCGTGACACACTGCGTGTCCTCCTGGGAGCTGGGGACTGGGGACAGTGGGGACGAGGACAGGCGTGCCCGAAAAATGCTGGGACCTGGGGGGATCACTGCAGAACCCCACAGGAAGCACCCAGAGCGCCCACCCATGCTGGGGCAGAATTGCTGTTCAGAATGTCCCCATGAGGTGGCCTGGGGACACCAGGAGGGCAGAGGACTGAAAAACCAGCTGGGGACATGCAGATGATGCTCTTCTCATCAGCTGCACCTAGCTGGGGCACATCAGCACCACGGGTTGTTCACCTGACCCCCGACGCCTCCATGGCCACCAGCACCTTGAAAGTGCCACCAGACCCGTGACCACCACACCCAGCAACCATGAAAATAAACCACCTGCATCCACAAATGACCCAAAATTATGTCAGGACCATCCAGCCCAGGCGGACAGACCCGGGGGGGAACCCCCCAAAAGCAACAGCTTCCAGAGGATTCCCAGCACCGGTGCCAACCCAACCTCCCGTGCCATCCTGGCACCCTCCAGGTGAATGCGGCTCCTGCCTGGTGGCTTTCCAAGCAGTGTCCCCCCTAGTTCAGGAGCCAGCACAGCTGAATGAGAAATTATATTTGTAAGCAGCCAAGGGAGAGCAGTGGGAGAGAAAAGGAGCGCTGTCTTGGAAGGACTGGTTTACATTTCTAAAGAAAATGCCAGTGCCTCAGAGAGCTGCAGGGTTCTGGCTATGGATGGAGCTGAAAGGCTTTGAAAATGACCTCGGGGATTTGGGATGTTGGCATTTGACAGAGCCCAGCCTGGGGCCTGGTTCGGTGATGCAGAGCAGCAGCTCTGGAGAGCTCCCACAAGCTGGAAATCTGGGAGTAAAAGCTGTTCTTTTCCTATCCCACGAGAAAGACAAGCCTGGGAGGGATAAACTTCTGCTCTGCCATGTGCTTTTGAGGTGGTGCCCTCCAAGCAACCTGTGTAACCCCAGGGGGAGCCACAGAAAGGAGCAGCTGGGGAATCTGGCAGCACCTGGGCCAACCCTTCAGGCTTGCAGGGCTTTTGGGGAGCCCTCAGTGCAGGACAACCAGAGCAGCACGGGTGGGGGGAGCCCAACCATCAGCTGTGGGGAGAGCCAGGGCTTTTCCAAGGGAAATCCTTTCATTAAGGCACCTTGTAAAACTGGGGATAAGTTGGGAAGTTTCCTACAGAGCCCATGAGCTCCTTCCCAAGGATGCTCCCGTGGAGGGCAGGCCAGGCAGTCATCCTAACCCCCTGGCATCTCTGAGCACCCTCGATGGCAAGAGGGACAGGGTCGGGATTTCCTCTGTCCTGGCTCCCACCTCCCTCATGCGAAGCTGCCAACAGCACAGACAATTCTGGAACGGGAGACGTTTTGGCTCTTCCCACCTCTTGGAAGGATTTTTATCTCTCCCTTCGCAGCTTGACAGCTCCAAAAGTTCACTGCTAAAGGCACCCCATCCATTAGCATTCACCCCCAGGACCCAGACCCAAAAGAAGAGCATCCATCTATGTCACTGCTCCAACTCCTCCTGGATTCCAGAGGTGGGAAGTGCTGGGAAAGGAGGGATGGGGGTCTGGACCAGCTGCCTTACCTTGGGGAGGAGAGTCGGGGGTGCCACTGCCAGCAGCTCTGGCGGGGTCATGCTCTTGCCAGCCAGGACCACGGCCCCGCACTCGGCACAGGCGCCGATGGTCAGCTGCTTGCCATCGTCCACCAGCAGGCTGTTGGCCACGCGCAGGGTGTAGAGGAAGACGGGGAGCCTGGCCACTTGAACCGCTTTTAATCCAAGGCATCGCTTCTTTTCCTGCCGGCAGAAGAAGCAGACGAAGGTCTCCACCTTGTATTGCCGGGACCAGGCGCTGCTGGGGTGGTGGGAGTTCCTGCCCTCGTGCTGCAGCCACTGTCCCAGCAGGTCGTGGTAGCACAGGATGCAGGTGGCCACCAGCCCGGTGGAGTCGGCTGGTCTGGCCCGCGGGGCGGGCGGGTAGACCGTCAAGAAGGGGAAAAAGGGCTCCTTCTCCCCAAATCGCCCTGGAGGGTTGACGTTGAGCTGGAATTCTTTGCCAGCTCCCAACTCGGCCCCGCAGATGTAGCAGACAGAGGTGGGGCCGGACTTGATGACAGCGGGGTGGCCGGAGAGGTCACCAGCGGAGAAGACCTGGTGGTACCTCCCCAGGAAACTCTGCACGGAGGAGATGAGCTCCTCGTTGTGACAGGCCCTGTACATGGCCCACAGGTCCTGCAGCACCCCGAAGCACTTGCGGCAGCTGCTGACCTCCCAGTGCTTGTTCAGCCCCTTGGCGCCGGGCGGGCAGGGCAGCAGGCTGAGGAAGGGGAAATGCATGGTGCTCTTCGCGTTGCCGTTGGTGATTTTGGCCGCCACCGGCCTCGCCTCCTTGCCGCACTCCTCCCCGCACAGGTAGCAAGCCTCGGGCACCGGCGGGATGCCCGTGCCGTCCTCCTTCATCCCTCGGCGGCCCTTGGGGGGCATGGCCCCGGCGCTGAGGGGCACCACGTAGAGCCGCTGCAGCACGGGCACGTTGGCCAGCTCGAAGCTTTGCCACTGCTGCATGAGGGAGGCGAAGCAGCAGGGGCACACCAGGGTGCTGCCGGTGGGGGACAGCGGCTGGGCGCCCGGCGGGGGGCTGTGCAGCCACAGGAACGGGAAGAAAGGTCCCGGCGAGCTCTTCTCCTGCTTCTGCACGTGGACGCGGTGCTGGGCGCCGGGCGCCAAGGGGCTGCCGCAGATGTAGCAGGCGGTGCCCGCTGCCCAAGCGGGCCGCTCGCTGCCTTCCTCCTCCTCCTCCTCCTCCTCCTCCTCCTCGCTGGTGATGTTGATCTCGCTGTCCGACGAGCAGCAGGGGGGTCCCCGCTCGCTCCCCGCCGCCGGGGGGGCCCGCGCCGCGCCGCCCGCCCCCTCGGGCTCCGAGAGGGGCTCGGCGTCGGAGAGCTCGGAGAGCTCGGAGCCGGCTGCCGGCCCTTCCTCCTCCTCCTCTTCCTCCTCCTCCTCCTCCTCCTCCTCCGGGTGGCCGGTGGCGCGGCGCGGCGGCGCGGCGGGGTCCCAGCCCGTGGCCCCCCGCCGCAGCCCGGCTCCCCCCGCCGCCGCCGCCGCCGCCGCCGCCGCCGCCTCGCACTGATGGGGCCGCTTGAGCCAGTACATGCGCTTCTCCACCGGCGTGCGGCTGCGCTCGAAGGAGTCCCACTGCTCGCCCAGGAAGCAGCGGCAGACAGCGCAGACCAGGGCGCAGCCCTCCGCCGAGACGGCGCGGGCTCCGGGCGCCGGCTCCTGGTGCTGCAGGAAGGGGAAGAAGGGCCGGTGGTCGCGGGGGGGTCGCACTTGAAGCTTCAGCTCTTTGCCGCGGCTGATGCCGCCGCCGCAGATGAAGCAGCAGAGCGGGGGCGCCGGGGGTTGCGCGGCCCCGGGGCCGCCCCCACCCGCCGCCGCCGCCGCCTCGCCGGCCGCCAGCGCGGCCATCAGCCGCTGCTTGCGGGAGAGCGGCGCCGCCGCTGCCCCCGGCCCCGCCGCCGCCCCCGGCCCCGCCGCGCTCATCGCCGCCCCCGGCTCATCCCGCGGCTCCGCCGGACACGCAGGCTCGGGGGGCGGGTTTGCGGAGCGCTCCCCCCCACCCCTCCGCCCGCCTCCTCCCGCCGGGGGAAGGCAGCGAGAAAGGAAAGAGGAAAAAAAAAAAAAATTATGATAAAACAACGGCAACAACAACAACAACAAAAAAAATTAAAACAGCTCCCCACGGCAACAAAATATCCACGAACGGCAACAAAAATAAACCCGGGATAAAAGTTCGGTGCGAAAGTTTGGGTCCCGCCGGCGGCGCGGAGGAAGGGCGGCTGCCGGCCGCCTCCCGGCCCCGGCGCCCCCGGCCCGGCTCCTCCCCGGCCCCCCCTCCGCGACCGGCCCGCCCGGGGGGGCCCGGAGGGAGGAACGAGCCGCTGCCACCCGCCGCCAGCCCGGCGCGGAGCGACCCCACGGGGGAGGGCCGTGGGGACTCACAAAGCCACCCCCCGAGGGGGTTTATGGCCGGCCCCACGCGGGGATCCCCGCACCGGCCCGCCCGCGCCGTGCCCAGTGTCCCACCCGCCACCCCCTAACCACAGCACGGCGCTTTGTGCGGCTCCCACTCCCCACAGGCACCGTGTCCTGCTTCACGCCGCCGGGACTTATCCCACCCAAGCACCGAGCCTTTCCTGCCCTTTCCAGCCATTAACTCGGTGTCCCGAGCACCCCCGGTAATTTATTTTCCACTTTCAAACTACTGCCGCTGTTCCAGTTCGATACCAGATTCTATTTCCCGCTCGGTCCTAAAATGCTGCGTCGCTTTGCCACTCGCTGGTAAATAGCTGATGCGTTCCCAGCCGGAGCTGGCGGCGTTTCAGCGGCGCATGCAATAATCCCGGTATATCCTTACCTGCCTCGCAGCCCGCGATAAGATTTAATGCTTGGAAAGCACTTTGCTGTCCTTGGACAATAGGCACCGCGGAAGCGCAAACTGTGCCCAGGGCCAGCCTCAATTAAACCTGACTGATTAACCACCCCAGCGGCTCGTCAGCGTGCCCACCGGCTCGGCACGGCTCTCCCCATTAAATAAATATATTAGTAACTGGAAGGGGGATTTTTTTCAAGCAGTCTGTTTAGGAGGAAGCCTGCTGCCGGCAGTGCTGTGGAGTTTGAGTTCATGGCAAGTCACTGCAATAACCCAGGTGCTGTCCTTGCAAGTCTCCCTGAGCTTGGAGGGTGCAGAGTGAAACTCAGAGAGGCAAGGTCAGTGGTTGGATAGGACACAGGGACAGAGGGACAGCAGGATGAATGCCTGAGCCACGTGCCAGCACACCCCGATGATGCACAGAAGCCACAGTGTCCCTTGCTCCTCATCACTCCTCGGGGCACCCCGTCTGGGTCCCCCTTGGGCTGACCAACCCTTCGTGTCACCTCCCACCCGGATTGCTGGTGACAGCGTCCAGTGCTCCCCAGCAACTGGCCCCGAGATCAAACAGATTGTGTGACATCAGCTGGAGCGCGGGCAGGGGCAGGAGGGCTCTTCAGGGACCCGGATCCAGTTTCCACGCAGATGGCTCCGGTAGTAAAGAAACAGGGGGTGGGAGGCAACACACAAAGCGGGAATACGATACCTTGGGAGAACTGGCTCCACGGGGCTTTTTCAGGGGTTTCCAGAAGACAGCAGGGCCTCGTTATATTTTATTTATTTATAGGGCTGATGTGGTGGCTGCTCTATGCACCGAGGGCAGCGGGAACGCCGCGTGTCGGGGTGGACATGACTCAGACGCTCTTTAAAGATGCACTCGGTCTCTCGGTGTCGCCCCTCTTCCCGGATGGAAAGGGGCCACTGGGCCGGATGGGATCCCTGACCCCAGGCAGCAGCACCGGATCTGGGAATGCCTCACCCCGGTTGCCCAGCTGGAGCTCCCCCGGGCGCTGCGGCCACCAGCTCAGCCCACCCTTCGAGCGCAGCCGACAGATGCTCTCCCGCCTGCTCCGCAGATGGGCGAGAAAACAACACGCCGCATCCAAAGTCCAGAGCTCGGCAGGGCCAACCCCCCCTCCCCACCCTGCCCTGAAACACCGACCCTCCGTGCCCCTCTCCGTGAGCCCCCGGCTCCCCCGTTCTCCCCGCGCCCCACGGGGACGCGGCCTCGGAGCAGCTTCCCGGGCCTTGGCTGTGCCCGGACAGAGCAGCTCATTTATCATCCTGTGCCGCCCCGGCCCTGCGGTTGCTGTTTGCAACAGAGAAGCTGGGAGGGAGAGAAAATTTCTCAAGTCGGCCTCGGCAAGAACTGAAAACATATGCCCTGGCGGCAAACGCGTCCCCCGGGGCGCGCGGGGATCAAGGCGAGCCTAGCGCAGGATTTTCCACCGCGGCTCCCGCCGGCGCGCTGCCCTCCTGCCAGAGCTGGCGTCCCACAGCCACCCCTGGGCCGGGGGTGGTGACAGCCAGGTCTGCTCCTCCAGCCCAGCACTGGGAGCACACTGGGAGGCAGGGCAGGGTGGCCAATATCCCGCTGGACCTTGCTGGCTGCGCTGCAGAGCTGGCCCCGTGCTCAGAGAGGAGCCCCGGGGACAGATGTCCCTTGCAAGGTAGGGGACACGTTCTGTCTTGGGTCAGGACTCAGCACCAGTCGTGCCAGGTGCTGGGCAAACAGCTGTGGTTGTGGGGCAGGGGGCTTCCCTGGCTTGGATGGGGCAGGGATTCAGGATGGATGCATGAGCAGCCACAGGGTGCTGAGTCCATCCCTATCCCCATCCTTGTCCCCATTCCTGTTCCCATCCCCATCCTCATTTCCATCCCCATTCCTGCCTCAATTCCTCCATCCATCCCCACGGCCAGCCCTAAACTTACCTTTATTCTCATCGCCATCCCCAATTCCTCTTTCCATTCCTCTGCCTGTCCCTATTGCCATCCTTATCCTCATACCCCTTTCTTTTTCCACTTCTGTCCCATCTCATCCTCACCCTCACCCTCGTTCCCATCCTCATCTGCATCCTCATCCCCATTTCTATCCCTATCTCCCTCCCCATCCCCATTCCCATTCCCATCCCAACCCCCCTCTCTGTCCCTATTCCTACCCCAGTTCCTATCCCAGTCCCTTTTGCCCTTGGGGCCCTGCAGGGCAGCACCCATTCCCTGGCACCCCGAGGAGCAGGCACGTGCTGCAGATCCCACATCCCAGGGACCGGGAGGTTAATATGGAAATTACCAACTGCTTATTCCTTCCAGCTGTTGCTGTGAGTCATCAAGTGCCTTAAAGAGCATTTCAAACAACACAGTGCCTTTGAGACAGCGTGACTGCTGCCCCAGCCACCCCCTCTGGATAATCCTCGGCAGGGTCTGGTGTTTGAAAAGGGAATATTTCTCCAAGGAGGCAATTCCCAGCCCTGCGTGGCCGGGGAGGAAGAACAGCCGCTGCCTCCACGGCGCCTGTCCAGGCTCCCACCTCCACCCGTGGGCTCCTGGCGTCCTGCCCGAGAGCAAAGCCAGGCAGGGAAGGGCACTGGGAAGGGCAGCCCAGCCCTGGCATCATCTCTGCTCAAAATCCAGCAGGGACATCTCAATCCCACCACGCACCCGCATGGGTGACGATCCCTGCTGTGCCACCTGGGGAAACTGAGTCAGGGGGCGGCCAGTCTGAGCTCCACAGTGTCACCTGCCCGGGGTGAAGGTGGCAGAGTGGCTGCCACGGGACGCTGGGACACTGGTCTGGAGTTCAGTGACCTTGAACTCTGCACTCAACAGCTGTATTTTCCTCGGCAAGCTTTTATTTCCTTTTTTTTTTTTTTTAAAAAGGCTGATCTCTGCACTCAGTTGGTGCTGATTTTTCAGATGGGAGAGATAGGGCTGGTTCATGGAAATAGTGGGGATATATCCCTTATCTGCTGCTTCAGCCTTTCTTTGAACTTCTGGACTGACTTCATTGATTTTTCCGCTGTTCCTTTCGCTGGAAAAGCCCAGGCAGGTTTTCTCCTGCTTGCAAACTGTTTTCCCCCAGTCCTTTGCAAGGCTGTGCAGGTGAGTCAAGGATGCTCCTGGCCAAGATCCCAGCTGGTGAGAGCAGGAACATCTGCCTCTGCACAGCAGAGAGCCTGGAATCAAAAAATAATGACCCAAGGAAAGCTGTGCACAGGTGACAGGGAGCTGTGACAGGGTGCAGGGGAAGGGGATAGGGCCATCCCACGCTGAGAGAGGAGGCAGGCAAGGAGGGAAGGATGCTGCTGGCATGGTCCCCAGCAGGCAGGAAGGAGAAAGGTGACTCTGAGGAGAGGAGGGGACTACCGACTGCCACCACAGCCCTGTGGGGACACTCTGAGCCTCTCTGCTCTCCCGGACAGGCTGTGGCAAACACACTGCTGCTCCCTGACAGCTGAAGGACAAAGCCATGCGGGGACACACTCGGTGCTGGCAGGGTGGTCACAGGGGCTGAGTCCAACCGGGATCCCCAGGAGCACCCTGAGAGCCCATGAATTTAAGAGGACGATCCAGCACCCTCAGTCCATGCCCCAAACCCCTCCATGGGCACTCGCAGCGTTGATCTTGTGCCGCTCCTCCTGCTCATCCCCTCTGGGACCAGCCCTGGTTCCCCCCATCTCCCCATGGGCAGGAGGGAGGGAGCCACGTCCCCTGTGAGGCACAAGGGCCCAGTTGCTGGCTGTGGGGTTTCTTCATAAGGGCTTTTTTATTTTTTTTAAGAGATTTTTTTTTTTTCTTTTCCTTTCCAGGGCGAGCAGCTCTGCAAATGCCAAGTGCTGATGCCAAAGGGCCGTGTCAACAAAGAAGAATGAGTGTGGCTGTTAGAGGCTGCTATTAAAAAAGGGTGGAGAGGAGAAGGGAGAGGGGGGGTTGAAAAAGAGAAGAAAAGGTTTGTCACTGCAAATAATAACAGTTTGCAGAGCAGTAAAAATCCGGGAGCAGTAAAAATCCGGGAGCAGCAGCCGGACCCCTGCAGTGC